TGAGGATGGATACCTTAAGGTGCTAGGGCTTAACTGAGAATAATTTATTTGAGAAGGGCTGGTAGTAAACCTAGAGAGTGAGAAAAAACAAACCCAAACCCTATACGTGTGGGGTAGGCCTTGCTAGGTCAAGCTCCAAGTTGCCCTCTTGGGGACCAGTAGGTTGTAATACTGCTGAGTCGGCTCCAAGTCCATCACATGAATGGGCCACATGGGCATAAGTCACATATTTGTTCTCTTACCTCTCCCCTTTCCAACTTGGGTCCAAGAGAACCCTAAAATAGGACTCTTATATTTGGTGGTGGTTTAAAAAATAGAACAGCTGAAAGATCCTAAATATAATTATTCAATAGAGGAAGAGAAAAATAGCAGGGGAGTTTAGAAGCTAGTGTTCCCTGCTCCTCCACTATGAACTAGCTGTGAGATCTTAGGCAAGTCACCCATCTGACTCATCTGAAAGAACTCAAAGTCCCTTCCCAATCCAGGACCTATAATTCTAAGGAGTTGGCTTGTTTAGAGCCTTTCTAGACACCCAGCAAGGCAAATAAATGTCCAGGTAACTCCTGCAGTTTATCTTATCTCCAACACGCCCTTATTTCCACAGTAGACACACTGTTTCCTAAAAAACACTAGGCAGAAAATACAGCGGGAAGAGGAGCTCTTAGAGCCACCGAAACCAACCTCTGCCTCGGCTCTTTAATCTCTAACCCTCCAGCTGGGGAAATCAGGATGAGCTGCTGTAACTAAGGAGTCTGTCTCGATTCCTCCTTCTCCCTTGACCTCTCACCCTTCTGATAAAACTCCTCATACTCTTTTTTATTTTTAAAATCAATACATGTACGTATATCACTTAATATCTCAAATAGCAGTTTCGCCTCTCTCCATCTCAGCTTCTCACTCTGCAGAGGAAAATCCACTTTCAACTCTTGTGGCTCCTGTATGTCTCCATTTTTTCAACCCCATGTGGTTTATACTATTTCCTGACTTGCAGATTTAGATATTATTTAAGGACTACTTACTGTGGAAAATGAAGATCTATTTCACACACCCTCAAGTATCTTCCTATAAAGCTAACATTTCCCTGATCCCCCACTGAGCAGCGGGGCCGTGAAAGGGCTGTGCTACCAGGCAGAAAGTTGACGAGCGGTAAGGAGCACCAGGAGCCAAAAGCTTACGGTGGGTGACAAAGCTGGGGGCTCAGCTCTCATGACAGACTGAGCACAGAACAGCTAGAAAATGACCAAGTTACTGAGATTCCTGCACAATCACCCACTTTTAAATGGTTCTCCAAGACAACAATAAAGCAAATGAATAAAACGGAAACTTGAATTTACACACTATACAGTAAGCTTCCGTAAACGCCGCCGATAGTTCTAGAACTTTAAGCAAAATGATGTATAACAAAGCCCATTTTACCACAGGCTAAACTAACAGCTGCAAGAGTGAAGTTTCTACACTATCTCATCAACATTATAATGAAACGACGTTGAACGAAATGACATTACTGGAGGACCTGTTGTATCTGAGGGTCAGATCACCACCCATTTATTGGGCATTTATAGAGTAAAGCTTTATAGAGTTGCAGAGACTAAAATGATGAATAACCTGCTTCTAATTGGATGAAGATTCATTAACTCGGCAAATAAAATAGGAAAGCCAAAAAAGGGGCAGACTTTCAAGTGGTAAGAGAAATAAACAAAGTACTATGAGACTTTAAACAAGAGAGAACAATTGTAATTGGTCAAGAGAGAAATATGAGGACACATATTCATATACACCCAAACTCAGAAAGTCAGAACATGGTTGCTAATCAGGAGTCTTTGGTGGCGGTTCTAGCAGGAAAGATGTGGACACATGCCAGGCTGGTGGCAGTGAAATGGAAAGCAGAGCCATGGGAACACCGTGGAGGCAACGGTATTGGCAAATGGCAATTGGCAACTGGCAACAGGTGCACGGGCAAGTGTGCACATGTGTGTGCATGTGTGTACACACACTAAGAAGAGCACTAATTTAACTGAGAAATTGCAACATCATTGTATCATCCTGTGAAGTCAGATGGGTAAGCTGTTTTGGGCATAACCATCAGGCTGGGAAGTGTGAGCAGAAAGAGCCCATGCTTGGTGAGCACCCAAGTCAGACAACTACTCCACAGGGAATTGGGATGCCCCTTCCTCCACTTCATTCAAAATACTGTCCACAACATCCTGCTTTCCTCGTAATCCCAAGGAATCCCCTGAAACAGAGGGAACCCCCTGGCTCCACCAGCAGAGATGAAAGATACACTCCTGGTTCCTCAGGGACACTTCCACAGGTTTTCCTTCACACATGCTGTTCTTAGGAAATTATCATAATTCTGGTCCATCCTAAGTTGTAAGAGAGTCTTGTTACCACTTACATTCTTTCAGTGATAAATAAGTTCCAAGTTCTAAATGTCTCTTACCAATAAGTTTTTGTTTTGTGTTTTTTTAAAGATTTGTTATTTGATTTTTAGAGAAGGGGGAGGGAGAGAGAAACATTGATGTGCAAGCAACATGTCATCGGCTACCTCCTGCACGTCCCTCTCTGGGGAGCCACAACCCCGGAATGTGCCCTGACCGAGAATTGAACCAGCAACCCCTTGGTGTCTGGGGCAACACCCAACCAACTGAGCCAAACTGGCCAGGGCCCAATATGAGTTTTAGAATGCACCAAACCGGGAAGCTATGGACGATGCAGGAGTTACCACAGCTGTTCTTTTCCTGGCTCCAGCTCTCAGACATCTCATTTACTGTCTTAGGACAGAAAGTCTAATTACAGGGAACTCGTGGACAAATGGGAAACCAGGTGCATAAGCCCTTGGTGACCCTCCCATCATTGCACAGGATGTGTTCCTAACAGTCAATGGCCTAATGACTGGGGCTATCTTGGGAAGGGAGGTACTATTATCAATAGTCCCTTGTTTGTAAACAAATGGAAGGAAGGCAACTGGTCATATACACCAGTGCTACACGGAATACAATTAGGTGGTACCCCTTCTCCAGTGAGTTCCAAGTGTCTGGAGCAGCAGGGCAGTTTCTACACTTCCTTCCAGGCATTTGGCGTTACCTTAGAGCAACATGCTGATCCCCTGTGGATTAAAGGACAAAACCAGGAGGGATGCTGGCTTCCATCAACCCTCTCCCTCTTGTCTTCTCCCGATTCTATAAATCACTTCTGGCAGGTAGCTGGGAAGCAGCTGCGAATGACAGTTTTGCTCTGGAGCACAGGAAGCCACCTTTTAACCCGCCTGCTGTTGTTTTTCTCTCCAAACGTGACAAAGGAACAGATGTAAGCAACATGCCAACTGTTGAGATCTGCTCGGAGCACTATGGGAAGCCTGTTCAGAGCCACATCACACCAGCCGCTCCATGGAGGGACAACTGAGTTCATTTCCTGAAACCCCCACGCACGCTCTGCTCACGTCAGGCAGGGATCCACAGCACTCAGGCCACTCACCACACACATCCCTGCATCCGCCGCCCCTGCTGTGGTTCCCAGCCCTGAAGCCACTTCCCGAAAGCTGTCAAATGCCACCGAGGTCCAGTCCAGCCTCACCCCCTAGTGGTCTTCTCTGACACCCCCGCCTCTCACCGTAAAGTACTCTGGTTCAAAGCACTCCATAGCCTGTGCCAGTCTCTAAGCCTTTCACGGGCAATCTCATCTCTCCAAACTATCCTGTTACCTGCATGAGGGCTGGAGCCATGGTTTACACACCTCTGTATCCCCAAAGCAGTACTTTTCAAATCATTAGCTGCATGGTAAGTCTATTGAAAAGCAAGCTGAAAGGGTTGCAACCAATATTTTAAAATATGGAAAAAAAACTAGCTTTTAAAAGATATTCTTGGGACAACTGGGGAACTATTAGATAAGAGATTCCTATTAATTTTAATTTTCTTAGGTGTAGTAATAGTGTGCTTATGTAGAAAAACACCTTATTTTTAGGAGGTAATTAGAGGTGACTTTCAACTGATCAGCAAAAATATACGTGTGTGTGTGTGCTTGAGTGTACATCTATAAACGCGCGCGCGCACACACACACACACACACACACACTCTTGCGTGCAGTTAAAACAAATGGGGCAAAATGTTACAACTGCTAAATCTAGGTGTAGAATATACAGTGTACACTGTATTATGTACATTTTCCTATGTGCTTAAAAAGTTTCATAATCAAAAGTAAAGAAAAATGAAACAGGAGAGAAAAATCATAATGCAGAGCATGAAGTACAGTCTGGTTTTAGGTGTCTCTGGATGTGTGTGGTGTCCTACATTATAACGTAAACTTATTTCGTACAGTAGATCAAGGCCAAGAGTTTGAAAATGCTGCCCTCCAGCTCCTCCCTGCACCAAGCGCACAGCGGGCATGCAATGAACTATCTGTTAATTAACTTCTAGAAGCCCAGGACTTAGATGAAGCAACAAGCTGAGAAATCATTTTGTCTCATTATATCCCATTATCTCAAGCTGTGTCAAAATAGCCAAGCCCTTTCCTGCCTTAGCACACTTGGGCCCAACCTGAACTCAGCCTCCAGGCCTTTCTTATCGGATGTTTAATTACTCATGAGCAAGGCTGCTTCTGGCTTTCCCCCTCGCTGCCAGCGAGGCAGCTGCGTTCAACTATGAGTAGGGTGAGCAGTTGTCCCGGTTTGCCTGGGGTTGAGGTGTTTTCCAGAACTAGGGACTTTCAGCACTAACACTAGGAGAGTCCCAGGCAAACAAGATGGTTGCTCACCATAAACCTGAGGGAAGACTGCACGAGAACCCGGGACAGGCCCGGGAGAGTTGACACTGTCATGTCATGTGGTGATGTTACCACTGCAACATGAACAACAAAGGCAAACCCAGCGCAGGAAAAATCGTGACAAGACAGATCCAACAGCAACAGCACATGCCAAATTGCAAAGTGTCTCTCACGCCCTTAAACAGAACCTCTCCTGATTAGTTACCACTAACCTGGAAAGCAAAAGACATAGGGAACTTACTGTAAAAACGTCGTCATCACCAAGCTCAGCTTCATTGTGGATGGTGGAAGATGACGTGGTTGAGCCTAAAAAGACAAGATATGTAATAAGAAGTGTTTTCAAAGAGGATAAGTCCAATCCAGTCACTTAAAAGGTATATTTTGATAAAACCACATCCCATTCCTTCCGCATGTGGATCACTAGCAGAAATGTTACTTGGGGAATTAATGCTTTTAATTTACTCTTTAATTGACTCTTGTCAGGATGCTTCCTAAATGAACTTGGCAGACTGTTGTTCCTAATTAACTCCTCAAACTTCTGGACTGGCCACTAGAGAACAAGCAGAAAGGCAATCTGGAGGAGGGGCAGGGAGAGCCTGCCCACTACTGAGGTGCAAGGTCAAGACCAGCCTCCGCCAGTGATCCCTCAGGTCCCAAAGATGTATAGTGGGAAAAGCACTGGACGGAGAACCCCCAGGTTAGGTCGGCCACGGTCTCACTGTGTAAACTGGACTTAGCTTTCTGGTTTTTTCACCTACCAAAGAGGGCATCTGACAAAACAGCTTGCATGGTCACCTCCTGTTCTGAAATTCAGGCACTGTACTCTAAAACCCAGACGGTGGGAGCCACCTTCTAAGCTGATAGATACCAGGGCAAGGACATTTTCTCTTGCAATACGAGGGCATCAGTGAGCTTTCTGTTTCTGCAGGCCAAAATTTAGGCTCAGGTTAGAAAACCTGGGTTATTCCATCATGGAATGAGGGTTCAATTTATTTACCTTTTCATCTCTTTCTTTATTCTGGTATGTAAACCAGTGGAAACTCCCCCCTCTCAGCTGTTAACAGTACCCAGTAATGGTGGATCAACAATGGACAGTTAATGGCCAAAAGAAAAAAATATTTAAATTTGTGTGACAGATATACCAAAAGAGAAATTTATTCTCTATCTTCTACTTTTCTTGGTTATTAAAAAATATGCATTTAGAAAATATTTTGCTATTACATAAAATAGAAATTAAAAGACTTGCTCAGAAAGGGAAGAGGAATATTTGAATTCCCAATGAGGAATCACAGGAGGAAAAGTAGGTCCCATAATAGCCTCTGTGCAATCCCTCTTGCTCTTTCACAATTTTTCTCTACTATCTGAATTATTCTAGTCAATTGATGTTTAAGGCAAGTTTGATAGAAAACAGCCAGGTAGAGTATATACAGAAAAAAAGTTATAAGTGATCAGTTTTGTTTGTAGATTTAGTAATTAAGTATATGGACATATTGAAAACTGCTATCAGTAATATAGGAGCTATTTTCTCTCTAAACATTTAGAATCTACGTTTAATATTTTAAACATTTGTTACTTATGTAAGACCTGTGATGTGAACACTAGTTTTTATTGGCTATCATGTGGTTGTAGTTAACAGGTTCATGTTCTAGCTAGAACTACTGATGTTAAGTGATTTTTCATTGATGATTTACTTTTCTCTCTTCCCACAAATCCACAATGAAGATGACTTCTGAACGCTTATTTCTTAAACAGATGAAACACACATTCTTTTATGATTAATTTTTGTTTAATTTTTATAATTCTGAGTTTGGCTTTTTGCTTGATATTTCTGTCTTCAAGGGACTGTCACACCATTAACCCTCTAATTTGAGAACTGAATGTGTTAAAGTGGAGAATTTGTGTGTTCGCATCTGTAGACTCTAAAAAAGCCCATGAGGATTGATGGCCTAAGAGCCTTTCAGGCCAGGATCAAATGTAACACAATGTCTACTAATCACTCACCACAGACTAGGGCCTAAACCATGGAATGGGCTCCAAGAGTCACAGATCCCTTTCCTGTTCAGAGGCAGCTGCACATCTGGGCTCTGATTACGAGAGGGCAGTGGGTAGGCCTGGAGCCATCTGGGCCCATTTGAATCCATTCTCCATTTCTGAGCCAAGACAGATCAGACCAAAGCTGTTTCAATAGTCAGGGAAAGGTGAACTCCATCAAAAACTCATTCATATGAAGTCTAGAACTTGTCTTTTCAGAGCCAAGTCCAACTGGGACCACTCCTTACTCTGAAACCCATCTCCTTTCCCCGTTTTCTCCCTTTATAGTTGTTCTCCTTGGATGTTACTAAAGTTTCAGCATCTACAGACCTGGCCCCAACCCTCCTGCAAGTAAACCACAAATATATGATGGCGGGAAACTGGAATGAAAAAGAACTCAGAATATTAACACAGTCCCACTACAAATGCAGTGACAAACTCAGTACCTTCTATAAGGTCTTCGATTGCTTTCCTCACTCCCCTGTCAAAAGCGCGAGCGTCGGCAGGACTTTGGAAAGTAAGTCCAAACTTCCTATTGTCGACCTTCCAATGATGAAAGGTTGGGTTGGCTTTGGTGTAGACCAAGTCCTTTCTTACATAGCATTCCAATACCACCTGAAGGATTGAAACATACAGGCTGGTTACTTGTGAAAGTCATACTGGTGTCTGGCTTCAAAAATCTAACTAGGGGCTGTCCATCACTGATGGCAACTAATGAACCCCCCCCCCCC